TTTTTTCTGTAATTGATTCTTCCTTTCCTATTTCTCAGTCTGAAAACATGACTGATCTTCTGATATAATTCAAGTAGTGCATAATCATTTGCAGTTACGATAATAAAGAAACTCACCTATCAATAATTCTGGACAGATCAAAATAGAATTTCTCATTTTCAGGTAGTGTGTTCTGCAAAATGTCTGACTCAGACTTCAGTGACCCATGGGCATGGTCAGGTTCACTGGCTCCACCAAATGGCATTCTGTTTCCCAATCTGTTGGAGAAAGAAACCATGAGAAGTACAGCTAGCTGAGGACACGAAACACTTCACTGCAGCTTACATTCTGGTTTGTGTCAAAACTCACATCTTCCTACTTTAATCTGTAAGGCATTTTAAAGGCGCCTGGATAAAACAAAAATCACTTTCAGATATAATCCATATCAGTGATAATCGACATAACAGATCCATCCCTCTAATGCGTGTTTTCTGAATATACGTTGTCATTGCACACAATTTACTCCAGTCAACAGTGCATAATGTATGGCAATTACTGCTCAACTGACAACCATGAACCTTTCATAACGACTATATCTTATATAAATGATGGATGGAATCACCAACCTCCACCCATGCAAAGTGAGAACAGTTCCTGTGAAGTACTTACCTTCCAATTAAGGCTTAAAATGTGGATTGAAATGCAGCATGAAACAGTTCTTATGCCTTCTCTAAAGAAAGTAAATACACCCTCAAGAACTTAAAACTAAATATGAAGTGTAATCACGTATCTCTATGTGACTTTATTCTCTCATGTTTAAATTCATTTGCTGGTTGCAAGTTAAAAAAGGTTCACGCTTAATCTTTTAAAATGTATTATGGCAATTGCTCTGCATAAACTGATTTCCAGTTACTTCACATTTTTTGTAAATTGCTGTTTCTTACGATGTGTCATATTTTATCAAGGGCAATCTGACTGCATAGCAGTAGTTGGGCATCAGATGTTTCTCCTAGCTGCTCTCATGTTCTGTGGCAGACAATAAGCTCCCATCGCTATAGTAAACCTGTGCATGTGATGATGTGCACAAATCACATACTAAGAGCTGTCCTTGTAATTTTACAGTCATTATAGCTATTAGTACTATTTATATATCTGAGGCATGTAAGACTTCTGTCTGGTAAAAAAAGTAAAGTTGTGTAAAATAAACCAACTCAAGTCACACCTTTTGAAAACCAGTCACTATGCTGTTTTGCCACACCATTTTCCTTTGGTCTTTTTACACTTCCAGTTCCTCTTACCTAAACATAAAACGTACCTTTCTGCCACCTGATTTAATGCAGTTAGACAACAAATAACAACTTCAACAACTCAAAGCACGCGGCAGTAAAAACACTACACCCCAGTCCATGCGCACCACTTCCCCCTCATTCGTGATTTAGGAATTTTTGGTATGTTCGCTTTTGCCTGTCTATGTCTCTGCTTTTAAAAGCTGCAGCTACCGAGCCGAACTTGGGAGGGGAAGGAGCTTTCCCGTAAGGAAACCTGCGACTGTTCCGATGGACACCGAGAACGTTTTAGCCCACACCCTCTATGCTATCCACATGTAGGGTGGTCGCGGTTATCCGGGTAGCGTCGCGGCGAGTGCCTCGGACGCTTCCTGCGTGTCCCGGGGGGCTTTTAAAGGGCCCGTTCGGCGGGCACCGGCTGAGCGCGGCCCCGCACGCACGAGCCAAGTCTCAGCGCGGAGATGCGCACCCGTCAGTTCCCGAGTAAGTACCCCGACAGGGAGCGCCGTGCCGGGTGCTTGCCGGGGGAGCGCAGCGGCGGACTGGCGCTTCCCGGAGTCCCCGGTCCTCACCGCGGAGGGCAGGAGCGCGGGACGCGGG